TTAGCACAGCCTCAGTTGGACCAGTGCTGCAGATACAAGTCTAGAGTTACCACGGCTAGGAGCCACAGAGTCCAGCGGCTTCCCTGTCTGCTTGCTCCTAAGCCCTGCTGTGAGACACTCCCTGCCCTCACCTGACTCAGCCGCGCCTGCACCCTGCTGGCCTCTTCCTCAGTCTTGCACATGGCTAAACACATGGTGACTGTTCTGAGCTAGGGAAACTGTTCAGACTGTCACAGCACACAGACAATGGGGAAATGAAGCTTTGACATGGTCCAGAATAGTCTCTTGGCTGGTACTCATTCTGTGGTTATTGGGGTGGGAAAAAGGAGAATTTTAATTATTTGGAATAGGAAGCACTTACAAATGGGACCAGACCCTGAGATCCAATTCAACCTTGGAACAAAAGACTAATCATTGCAGTGGCTGTTATCGTTTTGCTTTTCACTCAACAGGCTCAGTGTAGATTTGTTGAATTAAATTAGCACTAAAGACTTATATTTATATATTGATTTGCAATTTTCAAAGTATTTTAATTCTTAGTTTAGTGGAAAGAGCCCTGAACTACCAGCATACTTACTCTCTCTCCCCCACTCCCTGCATCCCGGCTACATGAAATAACAAAGCTATGGAAAGTACTTTGCTCTGGGAAACATTTGCCTGGTTTGAGTATGAAAAAACTTTGCTGAACAGCTTTGGGTAGAATTTTCACTTCTTATTGAAAATAAGTGAATAAATGAGAGGAGGAGTTTGTTCCCACAATATGGACCATTTCGGTTTATTTTAACCTTTAAGAGATTCCCAAGGCATGCACTGTAGCAGGTGCTGTCACCTGCATGCTGCACCTGAGCATTCACTGTTCATACACTGATGGGGGCTGTCCTTCAGGCTGGTGAGGCTATGTAACTATCCCCTGGGACTTGCCCTCAGCGATGGCTGCCAGAGTCTCCAGCTGTCTCATGCTAGGTGAGACACCCACCGTTGACACTAAGGTGCATTTATTCTACATTACCTCTCAGATTGTCCTAGTGGAGTCAAGTTCCAGCTGCCCGCAGAGGCCACATGTTTGACAATGTACCGATCATGGCTACCTTCTCTCTGCCGTCTTTGCTCTCTGGCACCAGGCAGAAAGAAAGTAGCTTTGCTGAAACTCTTGTCTCAGGGGTCTGTTTCTGGGAAAACCCAAGCAAATACCTCCCTGAAGTACCTTCTCCTAGAAGAGCACTGAGTGAGCTCATCACAGCTGGGCCGTTATGTCACTTGGTAATGTGGAGATGTGGCCCTGTTGATTCTCTCCTCGCTCGGCGCTTGAGCCGGCCATTGGCTTCTGGCTCTGTTGTCCTCCTCAGCAGGTTGACTCCGCGTAAGTACTGATCATGTAAAGTTTTTAGTCAAAAATAAAGAAGACAAATTTTGTGGATAGGTTCTGTCTCAGCTCTGTGCAGACTGAGAGAGACGCCATGACTTAGAAGAACTGGTCTTTGGGTTCTCTGCTGAGGAATTAGCCTCCTCATCTGGATGCTTAGCGTTCACATCATGCCAAAGAGGAGAAAGCTTCCTAGCTGAATGGATGTGTGCACACATTCTTTGGAAGGTTCCAGGTGCTTTAACAAATGTGTGGACCTTGCTCTGGATGAAATTATCAAGATGTACATCTTTAAACATAATTCACATTTTCTATTCATTTTTTAGGTAATATCTAGATCAGCAGTTCTCAACCTGTGGGTCGCAACCCCTTTTGGGGGTCAAATGACCCTCTCACAAGGAATGCATAAGGCCATCAGAAAACACAGATATCTATTGACATTACAATTCATCACAATAGTAAAATTACAGTTATGAAATAGCGAGGGAAAGAATTTTATGTTCTGGCGTCACCACAACATGAGGAACTGTGTTAAAGGGTCACAGCGTTAGGAAGGCTGAGGACCACTGATGTAGATTAAGGCCAATGTGGGCATTGTCTCTTCAGCATCCCCTCCCAATGGCCACAACCCAAGTCTGTATTTTCAGTCTGGAGATCTCACCTCTCCTGTGTACTTACTAGCCTTAATCACAAGACAGTTAACCCTTGAAGTGAACTGAAAATCTGTCTTTACAGTTAGTTGCCAAACTGTTGGTGGCAATTTACTTGAGAGAAATTATAGGAGATGTAGAACAGCTCATTCTACAGTGCACACTGAAATAATTGGAAATAGGCTTCTTAGGTTTTATTTTTTTCCCGGAGTTCTTTCAGCTCGGGAAAGAAGCTGAATAGTTTATGTGGTCCTCCATGAAGATGCCACTGTCGGTCATGCTCCCTCGCAGAGCCACGCAGCCACTGGGAACACACATTCAGCTGTCCAGCAACCGGGGATTGTGATGCGTAAGTTGCAGTGTGAGGCAACGCCACCCAAAATAACGAAGATACTTAAAAATGTGAAAATGTTAATGGGGGCAGGGACTGTCTCTGACATGAACTCAGTTCCTGCTCTTTGATCACCTCCCCCTGAGGGGGGTGCAGCCTTACCAGACCACAGAGGAAGACAATGCAGCCAGTCCTGATGAGACCTGATAGACTAGGATCAGATGGAAGGAGAGGAGGACCTCCCCTATCAGTGGACTGGGGGAGGGGCATGGGTGGAGAAGAGGGAGAGAAGGTGGGATTGAAAGGGGACTAGGGAGGGGGCTACAGCTGGGATACAAAGTGGATAAACTAATTAATAAAACAATAAATAAGTTTAAAAAATGTAAAAATGTTCATAACATACAAAGATGTGGGAATACAGTATGCAGTCAGAATTTAGCTTTATGAAAAAAAAAGACACATAGAACTAAAAGTCCCAGATATTAAGGTTGATAGTACTATGGCTGGTTTGGAATCTGTTTTATACCTTTCCAAATAGCTCATGCTTTTATCCACACCTTTGGAAAAGGATTGAAGGGGACAGATCTCAAAGATCACAAACCATGGAGACTCTAGGTTTACTGATATTGCTGGTCTGAGTGCAGCCAGCGTTCTCCAGATTCAGATGGGAGTTTCCCAGTGGTTCCCAAACATCTTCAACCCTTTCATGCATTCCTCATGTTGTGGTGAAACACAACCACAAAATTACTTTTATTGTTACTTCATTACTTCATAATTTTTTACTGTTATGAAACATGATGTAAACAGTTTTGGAGACAGAGGTTTGCCAAAGGGGTTGTGACCCACAGGTTGAGAACTACTGTTCTAGGCTTTTGTGGTGCTAACATCTATGCACAGCAAAGAGGCTAGATGTCATTGGCCTTTCAGCAACAGGGAGCCACCCATGATGAGGTCCTCTAGGAGACAAGGCAGTGATAGCCCTATGTCCTGGGCCTCGGAGCAGAAGGATTATGGGAAATACCATTGCCTCTGTGAGTTTCAGCAATTCTCCTAGGTGGCAGGATAGCATCCCTGAGGGAAACATGCCTCCGAGAGGGAAGGCCCAGAGATAACAGAACATGGCAGAAAACAAAACATTTGTTCTTTTCAAGTGTCCCCTTCAGTGACATCTCAGGGCTCTGTATTTCTGGAGGAATAGAAAAGGGATACATAGAAGAGTTGGCCAAAGTCAGGAGTTCAGGCCGTTTCAAGAAAGTAAATGAACAGCCAGGCACATGTGAGCTGGCTGAAGGGCAGGTGGTCACTAGGACCGGCTAGAGAAGGGCTCCCTAGACACGATGCAATGGGACCAGGGTACAGCCTGTGGGCTGTCACATGCAGGCAGCCCACAAGTGTCTTCTCCACTGCTGTGCACTATTATCACCTGCAATAAAACTTTAGCTTAACTTTCTGTCACTTCCCTTGGAGGCCACAGTGACTGGGTGACCCGTGATGCATTTCATGTATATACATATGAATATATATTTCATGTATATATGAATCCATCTCTAATATTTATATATAATACTTCTATATTCACACACATCCATGTTAGTATTAGAGAAGATTTTTAGCTCTGTTTTTATGCTTCTAGATTGCTGAGTCCTGTGCAGCAAATATCAAGAGCTTTATTATCCTGTTTCCTGATGCACAGTGCCCACAACACAGAACAGCTCCCTCGACTTCCATGCAGTATAGATGGACATGCTAGGGACACAGACCCAGAGTGCTGGCTTGTCAACAGCTTTGCTTCTGACCGTCTGTTTCACTTAAACCCTTGTTTTAAATGGAAGCCTTTGTCACTACAACCGTGCCTTTTAAACTTAAGAGCTTGAGTTTACAGGCAAAGTGTAACTCAGCTGGGCAACTTTACACGAACACGCCAGCGCTCGCACACTGGACCTCCTGAGGCTGGAATAAAGGTCCAAAAGCAGAGAGTGAGGTTCTAAGCCAGTGCTGTGCAGTGAGCTTGCGCTGACAGCACTTGTGTGTCGAGGGGCCCTAAAGGGGAGGCTCCATCAAATGTTTAGAGCAGCAAACATTATCAGAAAGGGTGCTGTTCATTCTTACTCTCCCAGAGTGAGGGTTGCAATGTGAGATACTGCGGTTTCTGGCTCTTTGGTCTTCAGTTTTTGCCAGCAAGTACCCTGATAGCTTGATTACCCCTTTCACTGCAGGATCGCAACTGGCCTTGATTCAAGCCACGCGGCTCTCCTCTCTGCCTCTCCCTTTATCTACTTTCTTGGCAGTCTGTTCCTCCAAACTTCAGCTTTTTATCTGTTCTTCTCGAAAAGCCGCTCATTTGGCAAGTGGCCAGCTCCTCTATCTGAGCAGTGGCTCTAACAAGGTGGGCGGACTCAGTGTGTACAAGCACACAAGTGTGCGCACTTGAGTTATGTGGGTGTTACTCTGTGTGCACAGGAACATCCGAGTTGCATGTACGTGTGTGACTGTTCCTGAATCTGGGCATGCATGTGCTCCTGTGTGTGTGTATGCTCCATCATCCTCTGCACGTATGCATGCATAGTGCATGCACCGAGTGTGTTTCTGATAACTGGATGCAGCAGGTGTCCTAAAAGCACACATTCCCCACACTTGAAAATCAGCTTGTACTTACATAGTTGTTGGCCAGGTCTGGGTGGAGATAGTCAATTCCTGTGAAAAGACAACACAGGAGTGGAGGGTTAATGCCTACCCAATTGTGTCCTCAAAAAAGCTGCCCAGGAATGGCGGCTCCTTGCAAGGATGGTGCAGGAGACTTGGAGTAAAGGGTTGGGGGGAGAGGAGGGCTTATCCTGAACCCTCTGCCTTGCTTCCCCTTTCTCTGTGGAGGAGGGCTGCCTCACTTGGTGGAGAGACAGTTGCCCCCAGACATACTGCAGAGCAGTGAAGCCAATTAGAGCTCTGGGCCCAGGATAACGCTTCCGGATAAATGTCAGCAGTAAGGGGCTTAGTGACTGTGAGATGGATGGCTCATCGCAGCAGCGATGTAAAAGAGATTTGTAGAAACCCTGACATTTCTAACGCATCTCCTCCGAAATGAAGCTGGCCCCGGGGAGGAAAGGCGATGATTATTTAGCAGGGCATGGAGAAACACGGATTAGGAGAGCACGTTCCAGCATAGAAATAAGAAGCACGCGGCTGGGCGAGAAAAGCCATTAAGAGAAAGCTAGCGGTTTCTAGTGAGGTGTTGCCAGCTGGGAGCCGATGCTTGTCTCTTCAGAACGTGCCTTTCTGGAAAGCCAGAGGCTTCAGTTCCCTCAGCTGGAGTTCTGTGTTTGCTCTTGAGCTGAAACCCGGTCTGTACCCGGGAGTCATTCCTAGGTAGAATTACGGCCTATGTTATGACGCTGAGTTCTAGCAGACACTTTGACTTCAGAAATCACTGTGGAACATCAGGAACAGCTGAAAACCATTTCTCATAAAAATCTACAGTACTAAAGCATCTTAGCATATGCTATACCCATGCATATATGGCCAGAGAGGAGACAGAGCAATGGAGCAGGACCCTGCGACTACATAGAGTCATGGTTACAAATGAAGGTATTTGGAGCCAAAGAGCAGAGTTTGACTCCCAGCCGCCATGGTAACCAGTAGCATGACTCCAGGCAGGTTGCTGGGCTTCTGTGGGCTTATTTCCTTCTTGAACAATTGGAGGTGAGAAGGGGACAGGGCTCAGAGAAGCACGTGGTATGTTTAGCCTGGCTGTAGGTGCAGTTTGTATCTATCCTGGGATTGTAGACCTATAAGGTAGAATTATCATCAAGCACCTTCTGCTGACATCTTTCTATGCATACTAAGGCTGTGCCACTATTATTGGGGTTGTGCCAGCCCTCCGAAGGCTTTGTAGTGGAAAAAAACCCCACAAACAAACAGAGAACAGAGCAAAACCAACCAACCAACCAAAGAAACAAAAAGCAAGACCAAATCAAAGCAAACCAACCCTCTTGGATTAGGATGCACATATTCCAAAAGGAAATTTCCATTATTTTCCAGGTCACATTAATACTTTCTGAACAATGCTGTGAGAGTATAGCTAGCCACTTGTCACTCAGGGGCATGATGGTTTGAAGCCCTTTCTGCTCTCCTGACAAAAGTCTGTAGAAAGAAATCGATCTACAGAGTTGGGATGAACACATGTGTTGAGATCAACAGATCCAGTTTGTTTCAAGGGCCAGACACTGTCACAGTGATGTGGATTTTGTCAAATAATATTCTCTCTCTGGGATTTGACTCTGTCATCCTTGAAATGGGGCTAGCATTTACCTTGCAAAGACTCTTTTAAAGATTAGAAACAGTTCATTGAAGTGTTTGGCTTATAGCCACCATGCTAATAATTTCCTGTTATTATCATTATGAATAATGATAATGTTATTATCATTATTTGAACATAAAATGTCCCCTCCAACTGAAGCAGCAACCAAAGACCATGCATAGACTGGACCTAGGCCCCCACGCAGATGTAGCCGATGGGCAGCTCAAGCTTCATGATCCCCTGGTAAGCAGAGCAGGGGCTGTCTCTGACATGGACTCTATTGCCTGCTTTTTGACTACTTCTCCCTGGTGGGCCTGCCTCACCAGGCCACAGGGGAAGAGGATGAGCTGAGTCCTGATGTGACTTGATGAGCAGGAGCATGTTGGTGGAAGTGATGGAGGCTCCCATTATCTGAGGAACAGGGGAGGGGGGATGTGGAAGAGGAGGGTGGAATCGGGAGGAGAGGGGGGAGGGGCTACGCTCAGGATGTAAAGTGAATGAATGAATGAATGAATGAATGAATAAATCTATAATCACGGTTATCTTTATTGCCAACTGACTGTCATGGGTGATAGCAATGTTCTGGAAATACCTCCCTCTTTCTGTAGACAGTTTCTAATTATAAAGTGTGGTCGATAACTCCTACCATAAAGACCTTAGTCACTGGCAGATTTAGGGATGGAATAACAAAAAGAAGTCCCCTCCAGGGTCATGTTTGAACACTTGGTTCTCAGCTGGTGGCACTGCTTGGGAAGGTTACGGAACCTTTAGGAGGTGGAGTGTTGCTGGAGGAATTATGTCACTGAGGACATGCTTTGAGGTTTTATATTATGGCCCCACTTCCTGTTACTTATCTCTGCATCCTATATGATGGGAGGTGTGACCAGTCTGTTTCCTTGCTGGCCTCGTGCTCCTCCCATGCCTTTGCTGTGAAAGGACTGACTTTCTTCTAAAACTGTAAGCCAAAATAAAATCCCCTTTCCCAGCTTGCTTTTTTTGCGAAAGCATGTTTATTACAGCAACACAAGAGTAATCAATACAAAAATTGGTCTCAGAGAAGTGGTTGTTGCTGTGATAAACCTGTTCATGCTGTTTTTAGAGGAGAGTGGAAGACGTCGGAACCTTGGGCTAGAAAAGCTGTTCTATGCCACCGACAGAGATTAATGGGCCATTCTTGCAGGGGCTTGGAAGACAGACGCTCTGAGGGTGCAATGGACAACAGAGACCCATGAAGATTTAGAGGGAACAAGAATTTTGTCAGCAACTGGGCTAGAGGCCATTCCTGTGACATTTCATCAGAGAATCTAGCTGTATTCTGCCTGTGTCCTGAGAAATTGCATGAAGCTGAATTAAAAGTTAATGGGCTAATTTATCTGGTGGAAGAAACTTCAAGACAGAATAATATTCTATGTAATGGTTCTTTCTGATTAAATGTGTATAACGGGGAGGAAAGGAGCATTGGGAGGCTTGCAGACAAGGCACATGTTGAAAAAAAGACTGTCAAGGGATTTGTGCCATTGACAAAGCCTCCTGCTCTGCAGTGAACCATCAGGAAAGGTACCCGGAGGTCAAGACCCTCCTTATGAAAGGAGAAAGTCTCAGGGGCCTGGTCTTGGAAAATTAATACCTAACAAATAATTTTTACTAGGTGGTATACAAGTGCTGTAGCGATGGTTCAAAGAAGCTAGGCTCCACCCCAAGCTGGTAGCAGAACTTGGCAATGTTCTTCACTGAGGGGGCTGTCATGACTTTTTTTCTCTGTGGTCTCAGGGAGCTGCTATAGCTTGACAATGTGTGTGAAGCCTGGAATCCCTGTGAGGAGGCTCTGAGAGGCTGTTCTGCAAAGCTGTGATGCTGAAGCCTGGGTTGTGATGGAGATGCCAAAGGTGTGGGAAATCTGCTCAGGAGGGTTGCACACAGGAAGTAATACTGCCTAAGAGAGAGCCATGTGACAGGCAGCACAGGTTAAAGGGAGGAGCTGCCTAAGATTTTTGAAGCCCAGATGTCAGACATGGAACTACAGGTCTTGGCGTTTATCTTGCTGGTTTTAGTCTAGTTTTTGTTCAGCATTTCCTCCCTGTGTCCCCATTGTTCCTTTTTGGATTGGGGATTATATTCTGTATATTGGAAGTCTATAATTTATATGTTGATTTTACAGTTTACAGCAAGTGTTTACCTTGAGTCTCAGAAGAGACTTTGGGCACTTGAACAATATTGGGAGTTTCAAAGACTATAGGACTTTTGAAATTGGACTAAACATATTTCATATTACGAGCTGGCCTTGAGACTGTGGGGACAAGGGTAGGAACTTGTGGTTTGAATATAAAATTACTCTCATAAGTTCATACCTGTGAGCTCTTGATTCCCAGCTTGTGGTGCTATTTAGGAAGGTTGTGGGACCTTTTGGGGGTGGGGCCTCACTGGAGAAGTACATTTCTGAAGATGAGCTTTGACAGTCATGTCATGGCCCCACATCCTACTCTCTCTCTCTGCTTCTTGTGTGGGGATGGTGTGCTCAGAGTCCTTCCTGGCTGCCAGGCAGGTCTCTCCCTCCTGCTGTCATGCTTCCCCTGCCATGATCTCCTGTCTACCCTCTGGGACTGTAAGCCAAGGCAAGCGCTTCTTTCCCTAGCTTGCTTTTTGTCAGGGTTTTCAGTCATGACAACAGACAAGTAACTACTACAATAGTCTATCTCACAACGGGAGTAACATTAGCAGAAGAAATCGCTAACAAAAACATTTTTAGAGATTGGCTTGATATTAAAATCTGTGTACAAATGAAATTGATTATGTTTGTTGAAATTATTTAACACTGTTAAACAAAAAGTTTTGCAACAAATATAATCTAAACACTGATCCCCCAACTACACACAAAGAACATGCCTTTTACATTGGAAGGCAACCCTAAAACACGATTCCATGTTCTGAGAATGGACTTGGTTTAAGAGAAGAATTGGTAATCTCTTCTCTGTGGTGGGAAATGTGAGAGCAAGGAGATAATATGAGACCAGCAAGAAATTAGATCTCAATAAAATATATTATGATTATAAGAAAGAACCTTTATTAGTTTAAGAGAGAAATGTTCGAATGGTTATAGACTTGGGCCTGAGAAAGAAAGCATTATTGATAGACTTGTGAAGGATGAAAGGCATTTTCCACCAAGAAAAAACAAATGATTGAAATGAAAGCAATAACCTGATATATAGTATTTTAATGTCCCTGTATTTTTAATTACCTCTTAAAGTAGAATATACTGAACACATGTTCTTTGAGTGTGTGTTGCATGTGTTTCTAGGCGTGTAGAGGCCAAAGGTAGATGTTAGGTGTCTTCCTCAGTTTCTCTCTACCTTATTCTTTGAGGCAGGACCTCTCCCTGATCCCCAGGCTCACTGATTCAGTTAGGCTGACTTCCCAGGGAGCTTCAGGGGCCTGCCAGTCTCTGCCACCTGGCCTTGACCCCCAGTTCTGGGTTCAGAGGTGTGCACTGCTACACTCAGCTTTCACCTTCATGTTAGAGATGGAAACTCAGGTCCTCACACTTGTACAAAGGGCTTTACTGACTGACCCTCCTTCCCTGATAGAACTTTTTTTTTTTTTTTTTTGTTCTTTAGAGACAGCAGCAGAACTGTCCAGCAGAACTCATCATCTCACAGAACTACAAAACACCGTAATTAAAAAGAAAGTTACTCTAGGTGGTTTGTTCTGTAACAGAAATAATCAAAATCGTAGAGAGATGAATTTTAGTAGAGAGACGGTGAGCTCAGCTTACGGGGATCCCAATGACCACTAACCTTCAGAACTAAGATCAAGCATGAAAAATTTCCAGGACTTTCTGAAGAGTTTTGCCTCTCAGCCTGGAGTATGTGAGGCACCTTCTCATTTGCCATCTTTGGAAGGGACGGCTCATTCAAGGAGGCTATGGACAGGAACGAAAACTGGCACCTATCTGCTGTTGGAAGTTGATCAGGCCAGGGTGTCTGTTGCCACTGTTGTGCCACATTTAAGGTGGCCTCTCTGTTTACAGACCCCCAGTGGGCTGTTATATTGACTCTCACAGTATATCCTAAGCAGTTTCTTCCAAAATTAGATGCCTCATTTTCTGGGTTGGGCTGCCTCAGCTGTTCTGGAAGGTAGTCTAAGGTAAAGTGTTCAGAAGGAAAAACCATGTTCATAAGCTCTGCTATCTGTCCACATAGTTCCTTTCTTCTAGGGAAAACTCTCATTATTAGAGAAGGCTTTTACATCCACTTCAAAACACCCAATACATCATATGCTTCCAGACTTGGGATTTCACATTGCTTAACGAGCTCCCACAAAGAACAGGTTTGGAGCATTCTGGTCACCCTCCCCCCACCCCATCAATTCTGCTTCAAAGGCTTGCTTTTAGTCAACGTTCTTTGAGGATTTCAGAAGGGAGAGGTTCCATTGTCTCATCTCTGTGCAGGCTTTGTGGGTAATTAAGCTGATAATGCCCAGTGGGACTCTTAGAGGGAGCCCTAGTGACCAAGGGCAGAAGGACATCCCAGCAAAGTGACTGCAGGGTGGTGATGACACTGCAAGATCTCGCTAGAGGCAAGACCACATGCAGTTATAAAAACACTAATTCACAAAATCTGTTAAACCTCCAGCCTGCACAGCAGGGTAACAAATGAGTCTGTCAATGATACAACCGTGATCAAAGACTGCCTGACGGGCCGCTCTGAAAGTAGCATTAAAGCCGGGTTTTTGAAACCCCAATCTTGTCATGGACCCAAAGCCACGCTCTCAGAAAGAACTGTCTGTGATTAGTAAGATGGATTTTTGACCTCAGTAGTTAAAACAGCCCATGTGGCTACCTAAAACAAGGAAGCTGAGCAAAGAACTGAGTGGTAGAGCAATTGCCTAGCACATGTGCAAGGCTCTGGGTTGGGTTCCCCATAGTGTGAAGAAGACAACATTAAAATGTGAAATGGAACTGTTGTGAGAATTTGAGTTTTAAATTGCTGTGAGCTTTAATTTACTAACTCTCAGTGGCCTTGCGTAGTCAGCACTACAGCACTGGGCAATGTGGATCTAGGGAAACAAGGCGACAGACATGGGTTTAGAGGACATCTCAGGTAAGCTGTAAGAAGCAGGCCAGTGAGAGAGCGAGGGAGTGACAGGGCGGTTTCTCTAGTTTCTTACTTACCAGTTCAAGCAATACTTGTTGAGAGCATCACTAACCGATGATTCTGATCAGGATGGAGGGGAGGAGTGGGTCAAAGTGTGGTGTGGCCATCAGGTCCAGAGTTGCCAGTTGCCTGACTCGCCTCTACCAAACCCCAACCCCCATGTTTGGAGTCACGAGAGACACTACTCACCATCATCCATAATCCCAATGGTCACTCCTTTGCCCGTGTACCCCAGCTCCCAGGCTTCGGCCACATTCAAGTCGAGGCCAGGCGTGCCATCAGCTTGTCCAGTGTTGAACTGATAGGGGAATTCAAAGCAGAGAGTCTGATTGGTTTGGTGCTGTGACATATGCTGGTACTTGGTTGCCAGACTCAGTCTGCCTGGCCAGCTCAAAGGCTGCGTCCTTCATGAAACATGCTTCTGGGTGGCCTACTTTACCTCAGAGGCTTCCCTTCCTGTTTGTTTCACATAAACAACAGATCTTTCTCTTTTAATGTAAAGATTAAACACTGCTCTTATCCCCTCATTTCATAACAAATCACTGTCTTTACAGGAATAGGCACATAGCTCTGTGGTAAAATGTTTGCCCAGCACATACAAAGTCCTAGCTTCAATTCCTGCCACCACACAGAAAACTAAAATCGTCTTTTATAACGCTCTTGGGGAGGCAATCACAGCAAAACCTTCAAATAGGGAATGAAATGTTTATTGTCAAAGCTCTGTTTAGCTCAAGCTTTGAACTATAATGTCTTGTGTTATTACTGAATAAAGTAACTTCACTAAATGACAACAGTTTTCTTAGAGGAAACTTTTAAAAAATTATTTGTTTTTATTTTATGTGCATTGTTGTTTTGCTTGGGTGTGTGTCTGTCTGAGGATGTCAAATACTAAAGTTATAGATAGTTTCTAAAGTGCCATGTGGGTGCTGGGATTTGAACCCGCTCCTTTGGAAGAGAAGTCCATAGGACTTCTCTTAACTGCTGAGCTATCTCTCCAGTCCTGGAGGAAACTTTTTATCTTGGGAATTTTAGTACTGCTATGCAAAACCTTGTTCTGAAATACTTGTTGAACTAAATTCAAGATAGGTGGCTACTCTTCAGTATCTGTTGTAGTACAGAAAAATAAAGTCCTTCTCAGTTTTTGTGTGGATCCAGGCCTGTGTTCATGTGGATTCAACTGTGTGCACAGCACAATTGTGTGTATGTGCATGTGTGTGGGAGCTAATGGTCAGCTTTGGGTATTGGTCCTTAGTGACGATTTTGTTTTTTTACGTACTTGAGAGCTTGCCGAGTAGGCTGGGATGGCTAGCCAGTGAGCCGAAAGGATCCTGCTATCTCTCAGACCTCGGTTCCTGGATTATAGGTATACGTCACCGTTTATAAGCACTGTTACAAGTTTTTGTTTTTTCCACACGGTTTCAGGGATTGAACTCTGATCCTCATGTTTACATGACAAGCATTTTGATGACAGAAAGATCATTATTGTCCCACCTCACTTTTTAAAAGGAAGATTAAGGAGTGACCCACATCAATACATTCACTAGCCTCTTTCCACGATCTGTGTTCTGTGAAGACTTTCTCAAGAATGCCTTATGAAGAAATAGTGAGTCAGAGTGTGCCCGCAAAGGCTCACAATGACCAGAGGGTATTCTGGCATTACTACGATATTATCGGAATGTCATCAACGTCATTAATATGTATACAAAAGTTAGCACTCTTTTCCTTCCGGGCCCACAGCAGAGACTAGACCCCTCTTCACTTCCCCCTTTTTATTTAGAATGGTCATGTGACTGGCTTCGGTTCATATAATGAGCTCATGTGCTACTCGTCACAGCCTAGCAGATGTTCTAAGAGCCGCAAACAGTTTGTTTTCTTTCCTCACTGAGGTGCTGTGGAAGCATTTGGGGTGGAGCTCGGAAAGAGCAGGCTTTAGTTTTAAGCAGCTGCTCTGCTTTGGGGTTACTGTTATTGCAACAAACCTACCCTATCTAGATTAACATAATAAACTCATTCAGTTACCCAGACTTTCAAATTCTATGTACAAAAGAATAAGGCAGAGACAAATACTGAAGCCTCGGGAGGGAAGCCGGGAGGCACCCTACAGTGTAGCCGTCCGTGGCATTTGTTTTTCTACCTCACTCATCCTCTTCTAATTCTAATAAAGACATCACTCACAGATTTAAATCAGTCATTCATAATGTGCTCTGCATCTTGAGTTGGTGGTCATCGAGCTCCTTTTTAAAAAGATTTATTTTTATTATTTTTAATTATGTGCATATGTGTGTTTAAGAAAGTGAGTGCAGGAGCCTAAGAGGCCAGAAACAGGGCATCCATTGCAGCTGGCGTTGCAGACAGTTGTGGGCTGCTTGACAGTAGGCGCTGGGAACTGAACTTGGGCCATCTGGAAGGACAGTGTATGTTCTTACTGACCAAGCCAGCTCTCTTCCCCTATTAAATTTTTTTCTTTCAAACAGAGCTTAGTCAACTCACATGGATCACAATAGATTTAGATGAGCCAGAAACTGTCCTCCATGAGACAGTCCAGGCTTCAGAGCTGTGAGTCTTGATTCACTGCCATCATTTTAGGCAGGGCTGAAATGCCATCCTTGATAATCTCTCAGCTTTCTTGCTTATGAAAACAGTGGAGTTTTACTCTTGTGGCTGTGACTTTAATATGCTCTTCCCTTTCTATGCCTATGGACACTCCTGGATTACTTCTCATAAATATTTGACTTAAATTTCAGGTAGTTTGCAAGTCTTCATACAGGTGTGTCCAGAGTCTAGAACAATGTTATTCAATGTTGGTAGAAGCTTAGGGGAAAAGATGCATGGAAGGTAATAGGTAGAATTCAAGCTCGTTGGAGGGTATAGAGGCATTCATTGACTTGGATGCTTTAATTTTGCCAAATTACAAAGAAACAGAAGTTCATCTTTCAAGTGAGGGCCATTGTAAATAACAGAGAAACTTACCAGGTACCATTGCTTTGTAAAAAGAGGATCATTCATGTTGATGTCAATCTCATTGATGTCCCTATAGCCTCTCTTCTTACGGTCAAAGCCTTCTTGTTGCAGGGCCATCTTTACCTGAAATGACAATACCAATAGATTACCCATGCACAAGCCTTAACACCCTTCTTCTGGCATTCATTGCTATGAGTTAGACTTTTATTTGTACACAATGTTTGTGTCCAAGGATGTGTGTGCTTTCTTCAGCAGAAGCAAGATTACCCTGTGTAGGACCTCATTTTATCAGTATTTATTGTCTAAAAGCATTTGCTTATGGCTATACCGAACAACTAGGCCGACAGAATCACTGAATGGAGTCAGTTCACAAGGGGATGTAAAGCTGCGGAGGCAGAACCAACACAAAAAGAGCAGAGAGGTTCTTTACCTGCGAGGAGAGCATGGGGACTGCTTGCAAAGCAGTAACCTCCCCCTCCCCCATAGGAAAACAGGGTTTATTCAGGTGGCCTGTGCATTTTCATGCAAGGCTGGTCTATTCTTGAGCACACTCAGTGGAGGAGCCATTCCTGAGTGTGCTCATTTAAGTTCATAATTTAGGAAGACAAGAGAGATTCACATGCTTACTGCACACTCCTAAGACACGTTTCCAAGATCAGACTGAGAAAGAGGATGCCTCACAGCGAGTTCAGCTTGTGACAGAGAATTTTAGCTGAAAATAAGGGAAAGGACTCAGGAATTTGCCCCGGCAGATGTCTGCCTCTATCAGTGGCTAACAGTAACTCACAACAAATTCCCTTCAAATAAGAATTGGATGGAGAAAATGTTCTTCAGAAAGTTGAGGAGTCAGGTGTCATTAAGTGAAATAAAAGAAGACAATAGAGCATTTCTGTTAGGAGAAGGAAACTGATGGGAAGCGAGGATAGACTAGCTCATATCGCTGAGGGCTTTCATCCTCTGCATTTGTTGTTAGTGTTACATTGTGACATTGGAGAATCAGTTAGACAAAGTCCCAGCGGAACAAAGCCCCTACGGAAGTGGAGGTGCGCCCCACTTCAAGGCTCCTGAGGGCAAGTGAGAGGCCCTGGGAAAGAGCCGGAAGGACTGTACTGCTTTCCTTGTTCCCATAGTTCAAATCTGGGCAGCCAGGCAGAATCCTGGGCTCTGGGCTCTTGGATAGAAATGAAATTCGAGAGCTATTAGTCCAAGCAGGCTCCAAGCCATGACTAGACTCTGTCCTAATCAGGGAATTTCTTTTCACTTAGGCATTCACCACACTGTCGTCCAATTGCTGTGGCTAGTCCGACTACCCATAAACCCAAGGGCAAAGGACCAGCATGAGAGGGTGTGTGCCGGCTGTTTATTATTATTCCTATTAGTGTTTGTGACCTGACGCTCTTCACACTTCTTCCCAGTTCTCCCTAGGATGTAGGGGGGCACGTTCTTCCTGGCTACCAAGTTCCATTAGAAGGAGTGAAATTCTGAGCACCTCCTCTCTCAGGACAGTGAGGCTTCCTCAGCCCCAGGATACCTTTTTGTGGCTTCTCTTTCAACAGTTGATTCTCAGGAAGGCAAGACAGGGGCTGCTTCAGCCCGTTTACATCAGAGTCTACTTCCTGGACGCGTTCTTTCTGAAGAATCCTGGTTAAGAGCTCCTCCTGGCAGGTTGTCCAAAGCTGAACCTTCCACCTCCCATTGCTTACGAGCCCCTGGCAGCTTCCTGCACCTGCTCCTGTGGAAGTGATCCAGAATCTGCTTCTTTTATACACAGAAACTGTCACTGGTGTGCATGAGAGTAGGCCAGCAGGGCCAAGTGCAGAGCGAGAGGCAGGAAGTGGAGAGTCTCCAGATTTTATTCCACTCCCTCCCCCCTCCAATGGGGAAGTTAGTTCTCACTTCGTTATTCTCTGCACCTACACATGGAGGCTGGGCTCATTTGACAGGGAGATTCAAACCCCACCAGGAACTGTACACACAAAGCAAAAAGTCTTTGTGCAGCACCGCTCTGCGTTCTTGGGTATTTCCCCAAAGGTATAGCTAATAGCAAAGTAATCAGAAAAGTGGGGCGGAATGGTATTTTTTATAATAGCAAAATATTGACATAGCTTATGTCCGCCAAAAAGATAAATTACAACTCAACAGTACACACACCCATAAACCTATAGACATATGCATATATATGAATAATTATGTGCACATTCATTTTATATAAATATCCCATCTAAGAAATAGATGCTCTCAAATAGGATGAAACATGCCTAGATTTTACTAAGGAAAAAAAAATATAAGAAACTGTGCTGCAAGTAAAAGATAGTTGAACAAAGTCTGTCAAGTGTGTTCTTGGCTGCCCTGTAGACTGAGGAAGCACCGGAAAGCTGCGAGGACCCAAATCTGAGCATTGCTGGGATCCTGTGACTTTCCAGGGATGTGGGCCTGCCTCAGCACACCAGCTGGCCTGGAGCGGCTGTGGGAAGCACAGCCTCTTTGCTACAGGTTCGTTGCTTTCAGAATGCTACATGAGGTCTTTGGCCAGTTACAGTCCATAAAGTCAATGGTCTCCAGGGCAGGTTGTTCTCAGACTTGCCCTGTGTGTGTGCATGTGCGTGTGCGTGTGCGTGTGCGTGTGTGTGTGTGTGTGTGTGTGTGTGTGAATTCATTACTACAAAGAGCATTTAAAAGACCCCAGCAGATGTGTGGTTCTCAGTCTGGAGAGACAGCCACTGTGCACCTCTTTTCCAGACCTTTAACCATGAAAAGAATTTAAGCTGAGCATCCGTTCAGCTTATGAAGGAAGGAGTCTGAATTCACCAGCTCATTTCCCCAGTTTGGTCTCACAGGGAGGCCTTTATCCCCAGTGCTCACCACAGGGACACCTTTATTGATTTCTACTGAAAGATTCCGTGTTGGACTTATTGCCATGAATAACTTCTGTGAAACAGTAACTTTCCCTCTTAGGATCTCTGGGAAGCGAGTACAAGTACCAACTGCCGTGGGGAAGTTTGAGAATTCTCACCTCTTTGCTGTTTCTAGCCGTCTCGGAACAAAAGACCCACATCAGATTTGAGGTCAAGAGCAACAGGGCAGGAATGACTTCAATCCAAACTCAGTTAGGCCAGAAGCTCACTAATGAAAAGACTGCTTAATCCACTTCCATAAAATTAATTAATTCCATAAATGAGGTTTTAATGGAAACCAGTGATGCTTTAGGGTGCCGTAGTCCCTGGACATCCCCTTCTTTGAAACTCAGGAATCTTAAGCCTGGAGCAGGCTTTCTGGGTCTGTACCTTCCCATCCTTCACAAACATCTGTTTTCGGCAGGATGCCATCAGGAACATATGTTATGCATAACTCCAGAAGTGTGTTGTTTCCATGCATGTCTATTGATCTTATTTTCTGTGTTCTTGTTCAATTCTGATTCATAATTATACTTAATTTTTTACATAATTAGTAATCATATTATAGATAAAAATCACACAGTCTTCTGTCCCTGAGTGTCTTACTATAAAATATTTTAATATGCTACTATGTAGCTGTGCTATTTTAATTTCTGTACCTCCGTAGAGTCATGTACCAACTATTTCCCTATTATTGGTTGTTCAGGTTGTTTTCTAGTGTAACTGTAATAAATATGACAAGAGAGATGAGGTTGCAAGCCATCTTCCAAGTGTTCTGGGGAATATTTCAGTGTTATAATTGTATGTGTGATAAATACCTTATTATATGTATATATGGGATATATATATAAATTATCTTAATAACAGGGAAATATTTCCCTAGTGTCTAAAGGATAGTTCTCCCCATAACTAAAAGACCACCTGACTCACTGTCCCTTCTCCTTTGAATTTTAACATATTTCATGCAATGCGGGCCATCACCATTTGTATAATTTAATCATGGCTTTCTCCCCTCCTAAAATACAATGCACTACTAACTTAGATGCATAGCTTTAGAATGCCTCCCCAAGGTGGACCATTGATTGTTTTCACAAATGTCCAAGCAAAAACATGGGCGAGCAGGAGTGCTCCGCCTAACTACCAAAGTCCAGCTGTCAAAGTCTTGAGGTCAAGCAATCAGAAGCCCCTTTGCTCACTTAATTAAACACACCGTCCTAACACAGGGTTTCCCATTTTCCCTGTCTAAACTGCCGCTTCCCCATGGGCCATGTGTCTCCTGTCTAACAGAGGCAGTCCACTCCCTCACCCCAACTCTCCTGAGACAGACTCCTTCCTTACCCCTCTCCCTTGCCCCTTTTCTCCCCTCTCCTTTGTTTCTTTCCCTGATCCTTCTTCCTTTATCTCCACTCAGTCTTTGTTCCTCATCCCTGCCCTCTGTCCCTCTGGGGCAAATAAATCTCTTTTGTGCTGAGAACTTGGTCTTGGGGGTCCTAAGCCCACACTTTTCACGTGGAGGGTAAGAAGCCACATCCAGCAGTGTGAAAGGATGGCAGAGTCACTCAGGTTGACCAGATTGATTCTAAATGCCATGAACTTTCCATTAAGCCACAGGGCTGTTCCCTAAGGCGTTCAGCACAGCCAACCTTCCAGAAATCTGGGACAGCTTAACTGGGGAAATAACTGGCTAAGGACTGGGCTGTGATCGCTTCCCTGCTGGGCTGATAATTAAACAGCTGTTAATTAGCATGGGATGTGCTGGGTTGGGAGGAGCCCAGAGAAAGGGGAGTAAGACAGATGCCTGCCTCTGACAGGGTGAGGAAGGTTTCGGCTTGAAGTGAATGCAAGAGCAGAAACTAAAATGCACACATTCAGGTTATTTTAAGTCCTGAGGTTGGGCAACCGTGCTGTGAGCTTAGAGCATAAGATGGTGCACTTTGGTTCTCAGCCACAGAGTGGGTCAGGGAAGTCACTGAAGGACCTCAGGGACCACACTATCCGGGGTCACCACTTGCTCTTACAGCATCTGCAGCTGGACAGCAATCACCAGCAGACATCTGGGCTCCAGGTCTGACCATTCACTTCCGTCGGTCATAATTTGCACAAAATTACTTGCTTGCTTGTGGATTTTGCTTTTTAAAACTCTACCGCTGGGCTGGAGAGATGGCTCAGTGGCTAAGAACCTTCGCTGCCCTTCTAGAGGACCCAAGTTTAGTTCCTAACACCCAAGTG